ATAGAATTGTACATAAGCTTGGCATTCCTGCTGGTGAGTTACCTATTAGGTATCTGGGAGTTCTCCTATCCACTAAAAAGATCTCCTATACTCAATGGAAACCTCTAATAGAGAATATAGTGGCCAGAATTACCTCCTGGACAGCTAAGAAACTCTCTTATGCTGGAAGAGTTCAACTGGTGCAATCTGTTCTTTTTGGAGTCCAATCATATTGGTCTAAGCTATTTCAAATTCCAGTTAAGATCCTTAAACTGATTGATGCATATTGTAGAATTTTTGTGTGGTCGGGCACTGAAACTATTACAAAAAAGGCCCTTGTCTCTTGGGAAAAAATGTGTTTTCCCAGAACCTTTGGAGGATTAAACCNCCCAGATGTGCCAAATTGAAGATCACCCATCTGAGCTTTGCAGATGACTTATTGTTATTTTCTAGAGATGACCTGAAGTCAGTTAATGCACTTTACCAAGCTTTCAAACAGTTCTCATAAGCTTTAGGGTTACAAGCTAATCTACAGAAAAGCTCTATCTATTTTGGTGGAGTTGATCAGGTGGAAAGAGATAGAATTGTACATAAGCTTGGCATTCCTGCTGGTGAGTTACCTATTAGGTATCTGGGAGTTCTCCTATCCACTAAAAAGATCTCCTATACTCAATGGAAACCTCTAATAGAGAATATAGTGGCCAGAATTACCTCCTGGACAGCTAAGAAACTCTCTTATGCTGGAAGAGTTCAACTGGTGCAATCTGTTCTTTTTGGAGTCCAATCATATTGGTCTAAGCTATTTCAAATTCCAGTTAAGATCCTTAAACTGATTGATGCATATTGTAGAATTTTTGTGTGGTCGGGCACTGAAACTATTACAAAAAAGGCCCTTGTCTCTTGGGAAAAAATGTGTTTTCCCAGAACCTTTGGAGGATTAAACCTCCTTAACATAAGGATTTGGAATAGAGCTGCTCTAGCTAAGACACATTGGGACCTTTCTCATAAAGATGACAAATTATGGATCAAATGGATCCATGAGTTCTACCTCAAAGGCCAGCCTCTTAGCATAGCTAGAGTTCCCCAACAAGCTTGTTGGATCAAGAGGAAAATCTTGGAAGCTCGACAGACTTTGTTGCAAGTGCAGATAAGAAAGGGTCCAGGCAGCCTGACAAACAAATTTATGAGCAGCTGCTACCTAGTTACCTTAAAGTACCCTGGAAATGTGTGATGTATAAGAATGATGCTAGACCCAAGGCCAAATTCATCATGTGGCTGCAGCTACAAGACAAGCTTCTCACTACTGATAGGCTAGCAAAATGGGTCATAGCTCTTGACTTAGAATGTGTCATGTTCCATACTCAACCTGAAAGTAGAAATCATTTATTCATGGACTGTGATTTCACCAGAGCAGTGTGGAATAGGATTCTCCTATGGCTTCAGAAGCAGGAACGGCCAACCACTGGATGGGATCAACATGTAGCTTGGATAATCCAGAATGTAAAAGGGAGGACTCAACAAGCACACATCTTCAAAAGTGTCTATGCAGAATGTGTCTATGCCATTTGGATGGAGAGAAATCAGAGGATCTTCGAAAAGAAATCAAGGAACTGGGAGATTATAGCTAGAGAGATTGCCTACTTGTCCAATGTTAGAGCATCTCATGGTGTCCAAAACTTGTTACATAGCATGTTGTTCTAGCTTGGCTAGCTAGAGGTGATTACTGGTTTGCTAGTTCAGCTTAGACTTTTGGTGTTTTTCTTTAGATAGCTAGTTGTGTTAAACTGGCTATGGTATTATAATGTTGATTCCTGGTGATTAATATAAAGTTAGTTACCAAAAACAAAAGTGTCCAAACTAGTATGTTCATGAAAAATATGCATACATAAAATTATAGTTTATCCATGAAATTAATGAAATGTCTATAATTGAAAATAAATGGATAAATTAATTTTCACTATTGCTAGAACCTAAGGATTTACCCAAAGGTGGATCAATCATTCTATGAATAGTGAAAATAATGAGGTAAATTAATATTCTTAGTCAAATGTATATTGTCTGTCCAAAGATGTCATATGTGTTTGGTTAAAAATATTTAATTGCCTATTAATGACTAAATGACATTTAAATTATGATAGTGTGTCGTAGTATTTACCCCAAGGATAATTACAATATGCTTTAATTGTTTAACTGAATCCATATTGATTTGTGAGCATGTATTATCTATTTTGCAGCAATTCCTCTTCATTCGCATGCTTCTTCTGTTACTGTGTTCAACAGATTGAACTTCTCTGAATGGCATGAACAAGTCAAGTTCCACTTAGGTGTAATGGATCTTGATATGGCTCTGTTGAATGATAATCCCGCTGCCATTACTTGTCACGACCCAAAAATCACACATATCGTGATGGCGCCTATCTCAATACTAGGCAAGCCGACAACATCAATAACCCATAATTTTTTTTAAATACTGAAAATATAATAATTAAGTTTAAGAGAAAATCCCACAAATACTGGATATAAATGCACTCCCAAAACTCAGTGTCACTGAGTACATGAGCATCTAAAGGGTAACAAAGACTGACTGATAAAAACACTGTCTGAAAATATAAAACAGTACAAAAACTGAAAGGAGGAGGGTCAAGGTTTGCGGACGTCAAGCAGCTACCTCAATAGTCTCCAACAGATAAAGCTCCGAAAAACTAGCAACTGCCGTGTCCGGAGGTACCTGGGTCTCCACACGAGGTGCAAGGTGTAGTATGAGTACAACCAACTCAGCAAGTAAAAATACTAAATAAAGAAATGAAGATAGTGACGAGCTTCACAACTAAGTCCAATTACAGTAATTTCCAACATAAAAAGGTAGGCATGCTTTCAAGTTCAACATTTACAACTCAAATAGTAATTTCATATCAAATTCTACTGAAATAGAAGATAATGTCTTTCAGAAGTTTCCAAAATAGTGATATATGACAACTGAAGTGCAAC